AAAAAAAAAAATCTTTACCCCAAAACTGAGCCAAGACACTTTTAAGCTATTGTAAGTCCAAGAGAGGGATGTGGCTTAATCAAACAAAATAATTTGTAAACCTGACTTGACTTAGGCTTGATCCACAAAGTTACACCAGTCAAACCAGGGACATAATCTTGTTCTGATTTTATTTAAACCAATAAAACTTCTTTGTGTAGAGACAAACTCTCAACTATGGAAGTTTAAGTCCTCCCTTGTAGCCAATGCTTCAACCCTATCAATTCTCTTACCACTCAGAAAAAAAAAAATGGAGCTTCTACATTAAAAATTAAAATTCTTGTCTAAGAAAATACAATTACAACAAGTGCTATGGGGAAGAAGTTTCGTTTATTTTGTTTTTAAACAGGACCAATCTAGTTTTACCTTCTTTCTGACATGGTCATCTTAGCAATTTGTGCATAAGCAACAAGAATATCAAAAGGTGTTGCCTGTCTCACAGAAATGGGGGCTGTTTTGTGAATTCACCAATAAGTGAATTTTAAGCTAAAAAATTACCCCCAGATTAAAGATTAAAATAATTTCAAAATATATAATACCTATGTACATAGATTGCCAAATGTAACTCAAAAATCAGAGCTGGCCTGAAAACCTGTTCTTAAAAAGAATGTGTCAATAGTTTAAGTTGAACTACAGACTACTAGTTTGATTTACAAAAAAAATCCTACTACCTGTAAAGTCCTTATCGACTTCAATGGACTTGTGAATTCCTAATGACTTTGAAGTGGACAGATGTTGAACTCAGTTATATTCCAAAATAAAAATTCTTGAAAGCTATTTTCCTTCTTAACTTGCTACAGACATGGATCAAATCAAACTACGCTTTTGTTTGAGCAAAATTTTGTATGTTGTTAGAATGGAATTACTCACTAAACAAACTGCTTCTAGTACATAAAGCATTATATAAAAGATACGTTACAAGTACCTACACAGAAAACACTTTCCAACGTAGCATACAACAAATTTAAACAGTTTAATTATACTGGTGCAATTCTCTTTGTATACACTATTTTTCAGAGTAAGCGGGGGTTTTTAGTTTAGTTTATGTGACTTGGAAAAGGGATTAAGAACTGAAGAAAGCTACTCTTATCTGGAAACAAGATCATCCACATGAACATTACAACGGCACAGCTATGTTTCAGAAAGATTAAGCTTTACCATATCACGGCCAATTTACTCGCCTGAATGTGTTTTAATTCAAGCACATTAATTTTACACCTTTAGTTGATTCACCTTACCTCCCCATTTAGAAAAGTCCAACATATATGTACACGTGTATGTGGAGGGCGATGTAGCTGGGATTTATATAACAAGCCTTATGTTCATTTTTGCTTACCTATGGTACATACGTTATAACTTCACATCAGGGATGCATAATCACTCTCTGAAGACCCCTGCAGTTAAATAAACAAAAAGGAGACACACTTTCAGTTGCACTGCTCAAAAAACAAAACAAAAAATTAACAGAAGTTTAAAAATCTTAAACGAAAACATTATGATTGTGCCTCTTTAACTTCTTATCCCTGAATTAATCTGAACCATATTATTTTATTTCAATAAGATTTTCAACATGACATCCTCAACTAAAATAAAAAATTTTACCTGAGGTGTCTTCTGAAAGCACTTAATATAATAGCTGACATGAGAGACAAAAGGGCCACTCTAAAAAACATTACTTTCCTCACATGTACTACGAGGCTACATATGGTATGGTATTAAAAGAGAAAATAATGTACTACTCTGGGCATCAGGCAATTATTGAATCAAGATAACCCAAAAGAAGACTGATCTTGGAAGCCCTCCAGTTGCTGAACTCCTAGTTTTTCCATCTTCACATGAATGATTGAAGCAAACAGAAGCAAGTCAGCCAGATCCCTGTGATAACATATGCACTGGTTTCCTTAGACATAATAAGAATTAGAAATGCTTTTCAACCATAAAGCTTTACTACCCTACCATGTGCATAGCAATTCAAATCCCTGTACATCATACCTTACATATGTATTTTCTAGATTGGTAATAAAAACATTGGATTATTTTAAAATCGACAATGGTTTTTTGTGACAATGACAGCTCCCCCCGGCTCCTCCTAGCAGTCAGTAACCTTTGTAGGCTGTGGGCCAGTGACACAGTTCAGGTCACAGAAAGGAGCTCCATTCTACAGTGGTGTGGGAAAACTGCTGAAGGCCTTTACTGCTGAAGCCCCATATCCACAAGACAGATCAAATGGCTCTGTGGGATAGATCCAGTCTACAGGTCACAGGTTGCTGACCCCTGGCACAGGTCAAAATATTACATGGCTAATACTAGTCAATGGCTTCTAAATTTCCTTTTTAACTATATCTGTCACAAAGGAACAGGTAAGATCTGAAAACATAAGCTGCATCTGAGGAGTGCGATTGCAGCATTTTAATTAAATTAATTAGAATACAGCATTTTACAAACTATGCTTAGTTTTCTGAATTCTATTTAAAATATCTTAGACTGAATATAAATCACATGGTGGAATAACCACCTCTTGAAATGCTGTTACCATAGAAAATGCTATTCTCCGATGCAATCCTGTCCTGGTCATAGTTATTCCAAATACTGCTACAGAGATCCCTTTCTTACAATAGTACTTTTGGCCCCATCAACACTTTTTCATTCTACTGCCTTCCTCTTTCACTGGAGCATCAAGCTACGTGCTTTGACATTCAAGGCCTTTCTTCATCAGTCCCTTCTCATTCACTACCAACACACTGACTACCAACCTCCAAGTAGCTACTGATGCCAGCTTCCATCTGAATTTTCAAACAAGGTCAAACAAGTTCCACATAAATATCTCCAAACCTAATGTGCTATCCTCCTTCAAATTTCACTTCAAACTCTCCTTTGCTCTGAAACCCATAGAAGAGTTGACAAAGGCTTAGGCTAGTGTTGCTCAGCTTCCTGTTTGCAGGCTAAATCCAGTCCATGGAGCCAGGTTATCTGACCTGTGGGACTTTGTACAGGTCTGGAAATTTAGTGGAAGAGGAGGGGTGGCAGTGTTAACTGCTGCAGCTTCCAGTCACCACCACATTTCCTGACCTGTGAGGAGCCCTGAAGACCAGATGACATGACTTCTGCCCTCTGAGCATCAACCTCACACTGGATCCAGCTTGTGGATTGGCTCCACACTACTCATCTGGCACATGGGACAGGAAGGTTGAGCACCACTAGTTTAGATTGCTGGCCACCACACTGACCAATGCTATCCTCACTACTTCCTTCTCCAACTGCTTGTAACCATTTGCTGTCTCTTGTCTCTGACTGCAAAGTCTCTGGAGCAGCATTCATGTTTTTGTTCTGTGCTTCCATTTGGGGCAGACAGTGGGAAGGCTGTGCTGCCTCAGGTCCTATTCCCACTGCCCGCTCTGAGGTGCACGTGCACCCACCAGTATGGAGCCAATGCCAGAGCCCGGAGCAGCTGTTTGCAGTCTCCCGGCTCCAGCCAGCCCAGGCTCTGGTAGCTGCTGCCAACCAAAGAGCCCTTGCTACTCGCACCAGGGCTTACAGCTGAGCCCACCTGACTCCCACCCGCTCTGAGCCCAGCCCCCCCACACCAGGATGAGGTTGGTATTGCCCCTTGCCAGGAACACTGCACATTTCCAGGCTTAGCTATGTGGGGTGGGTGG